GACAGAATTTGAGGCCCCAAGTAACTTAGCCATGAGGAGCAAATATAGGAAGATAGAGAAGAGTGGTGGTGCTTCTTCGTTGAATCTTCATGAATAGAAGTGTTTCGAGTTGTACAAGCATATCTGGGGAGTTGAATCTACCGTTAAGTCTAATGAAGGAGATGTGAAGGAGGAGTCATCGCTTGGTGTGACAGAATCTGATGGATGGTTCGAAAACTCATTTCTTGTTCCATCGGTTGAGATTCTTGGTGTGGATTCTGTGAAAGAACTATGGAGCAAGGTGCCGATTGAGAGCAAGAAGAAAACTGAAGAGAAGATGAAGTTGTTGAAGGAATGTGAACATGAATGCAAGAACGTTGAAGAGATCTTGAAGAGCAGGAAAGATGAATGTGTGTTGCAAAAGCTAGCCTTGTTGAGTAAGGTTACCTCGGTCATCACGGAAACGAAATAGAATATGATTAAGCTCTCTTTTCTTTTTAGATGCAATGCCTCCTTTTGTTTTTGAACTTGGGATTTTAACTTTCTGGTTTTCTAGTAGTATTGCTTATGGTTCTCTATTTTGGATTGTTGTCTTTGTATAAGACGTTATTAAAATATGTTTGCATTCAAGAAGTATTTTCTCTGTAGGATATGGAGAAGCTACTAGATTAGACTTAGAATGAGCAAATGAGTTTCTAGACAAATTTTTTGTTGAATGAATCAAGAAAATTTTAGTGAATCTGTCTGTAAAATGCTGCAGAGCTTTAAGGTTTCTATACCTAGAAACCATAATATAATTTACCTGAGTTTTTAAGCAAACCATATCAACCAAAAGATCACTAGAGCTCTGCAGCTTTGCTTCACTTCATGGGAGTTTTATTCACTAGTTATAGTCGTAAATTAAAATTTGGTTTTGTATTAAACTGTGCTTGTTATTACTTCTCTCTTTACAACAAGATGCTGTGTCGTTCACTCGGATTACGTTTTTCATTTTCATGTAGTGACTCAAGTCTTTATTATGTTTTTTTAGAACAGAGACCCATGATTCTGCTCTGTCTGAATCCTGAGATTAAATTATAGTAGTGTCTAAATCCTGCGATTAGATTAAATATAGTTGTTATTCTGTAGCCATTTTTGCTTTTTATATATATAGTTTCTAATCTTCTACTTTCGATTTTCAAATTGCAATGATTTGTTTTTTTTTTCTAAGGATATTCACATCTAAATTTCTTGTTCCATTCTATTATAAGCTTTGTATTACATGTGTGACTATAATCAGTCAGTAAGCTTTAGTATCTTTGCTAAGGCGTTTTTTTTTTAACATACTATGACGTTTCTTGACAAACATGCAATAAATATATTCATGCGACCACATGAGGTTCTTGAAATTGTTTTGGTTACAAAAGGAGAAGCTGATGTTCTCTATTTTGGCATAGCAATGGGCCATAACAATTGTAGCCTAAACCCTTGAAGACGTTTACGTTTCAGATAAGTAATCATTACTCCTTTCTTTGTTTTTTTTAAAAAAAAAAATGTTTTTATAGTCTTTTTTAGCTTCATAAAGATAAATTTTTTATTATATTTTTCTAGGCTTCAAGAAACAAGATAATCGAAAGCATACATCGTAGTGTTTGCTATTTTTCAATCTGAATCCAATTCAAAATAAAACAAAAAAAACTGAATTAAAATTTTGAACTCCAAACGAGTAGTATAAAAAAAATATTTCAATTTTTCCCAATGTTAATAAAATGATGATTTGTTTGTTATATTTCTAAGAAACAGTTTCTCAATAGAGAGATATTAGGGCTTGTTTAAGACGTTTTCAGTCTCTGATAAGTAATCATTACTCCTGTTTTTTTTTAAAGTGTTTATCATATGTTTTTGGTTTCATAAAAATTAATTAATTTTCTAAGTTTTTATGCATAATTAGGCTTTAAAAAACAAGATAACTGAAAGCTTACATCTTAGTGTTTGCGTTATGTCCCATTGCTATACAAAAAAAACTGGCAAAAGAGAGAACATGTTTGATCTTTTCAAGGTGAATCTAACTCAATAAAATTTAAAAATTTCAAGAACGTCATGGGTTTGCATGAACATGTTTGTCAAGAAACGCCTTAGCCAAGTTACTAAAGCTTACACTGGCTGATTCAGCAGCCACGTACCTCTTGATGAGATCCACCACTTCTGGTCTCAAAATCTCCTCCCTAGTTGCTCTGTTATAGTCACACATGTAATACAAAGCCCCCAACGCGTAATTCACCTGTTAGGAAACAAAACGGTTTCCGTTTACAACAAACCAGCGTAAAATCAATGAGGCGAGAAACTCTGTGTACTCACAGTGTTCCGGACAGGGCTTGATAAACATTTGATTATAAGGGAGACTCCATCAGCCTCAACAATTGTAGCAGCATTCTTTGGCTCTGCACATGAAGAGGAAAGAGCATGAATTTGGTTATAAATAGCGAAAATAGTTTTAGCCATCAGAGTATATTCCACTTATATTTCAGGCATACCGGCACAAGCATTGCATATTCCTCCTATCCCGAATTCCACAAGCTTCTCATTTGGCTCTGTTATACAGTCTATGAATAGTTCCAAGACATTTAACTGCTCAAGTACACCATTAACATTTCATCACTACAAGAACGTAATGGGGGTATATTCGGGTTCTGCATGGAGAACGATAAAACATGAGCAAGCTCGAGGTTACCTGACGTAAAATGGTGTAGTTGTAAGGGTCATATGCAAAATTCGCCAAGTTTGCCACAATTCTTTCTTTTGTTTCTGCAAGTTCAAGACAGTAACCGTATATTATCGATATATGTGACAAAACCGGAGACATACTAGCTTAAGGCTTGCTAAGCTAATAGCCTAATAGAAGCATCTGAAAGTTATGACAGCAATTGTGTCTAGAGTAGAAGTCAAAATACGATATAAAAATGCTAACACTTTACATAATTCTAAGAAGCATATGATCATATATCCCAGAATGGTTGACAGAACTTAGATATGTGCAGATAAAGGAATGTTTAGCACGTATCGCATCTCCTCCTTTAAATTTATCCTATCTTAATACCTAAATAACATTCCATATGAAGCCACACACAGTTCTTAAATTCATACTGCGAATCAGCAAATGTGCGTAGACTCAACTTTTCACTCAAAACGCCAATAGAATATATTAATCACAAGAAAGCACTAGAACCAGTGTTATGCGTCAATACTTTCTACAATGTTACTAAACAGAAGCATGAACATATACATTAACAGGGTCAATTAATACCAAACTACTCATACCTTCGTCGGTTGCATTTTGAAACTGACTCACAAGCTCCTGCATTTAAAAGTGACAACAAACTCAGCTCCAACAATATCTCAGAGACATAAACCAAACACTTACACAAAACTCAGCCTTTCCATTTTGTTACTGTCGGGTCATATCAAGTCTACACAAGTTTTTTTTTCAGAAGACAAAGAAGTAAACCATTCCAACAACTTCTGAGAAAATGGTTAACCACATAATAACCATTCATACAGGTTGCACATTTTGCCAAAGTCTTGAAACAGGTAAAAACAAAGAAAGATTCCAAAACAGATTTCAAAAAAGACCTGTAGATATTGAAGCCTTGGTGTTCCGTTTTTTCCAGTACGTTCTTCTTGTCTTTGATTATTAGTAAACATTCTCACTACTCTACAAAAGACTTATCTTAAAAAGGTAGACGATGACGCTTCTTCTGCAATTTCAAAATCAAAGCTTTTAATAGAAGAGAACAAAAAATGGAGATGTGAACATCGTTAAGAAAAAAATAAATCATTACAATTCGAAATCGAATGAAGAAGATTATATGCCAAAAGTCAAAAACAAAAGGGAGAAGAAAATGCAAACTGAAGCAATCAATCTCAGGATTCAGACAGATAAGAAAACATGGGTCTCTGCTTTAATCTAATCGTTCTAAAAACAATCAGAATGGATAACATAATGCAGACTTAAGTTAGGAAAAAAGAAAACATAATCCAAGTGGGTTCTTGCAGTAAAGAGAGAAGTAAAAACAAGCACAGTTTTAATCTCTTGAAAACTTAATAACAACATCCACTACAGCCTGTAAGATGAGAGAAGAGAAGAGACAAGATTCGAACCTGATCAATGGCACAGAGACTTCTGTTGTTGACTTTCTTTCTTTTACACCTAAAGGAAACAGAAATCATCAAATTCTCTGTTTTTTTGTTCCAACAGTCGAGATAAAAAGCAACTCATTCACCACCAACCTTACTTATATATTCTCAGAACAAACTATATTATAGCATCATAAAAAACGAGTGATCAATCACTTGATTCCAGAGTCGAAACATTACCTCTAACGGAAATGGCTGGCGACCAAAAGATCCGTTCGTCGAGTTACGATGGTCACAATGATTTCTTCAAAGGTCCACCAAGAGATTTCTTCGTCTGCAGCTACCAGAAAACTGGCACGGCTTGGCTCAAAGCCCTTAACTTTCGTAATCGCGAAGAGCTCCAAACTCGACGATTCCGCAAACCCTCTTCTCAAGCTATATCACTCTCACTTTCCCGTTATCTAGCTGCTCTCAATTTCGCGTGAGAAGGCCAATGAAAGGGATCGACACGTTTGAAGTTGAACCCTAACTCCTAAATCGGCAAAATTTTCGAAATGTCGAAGTCCTTCATGTTTCAATTTTGGGTTTGAAAATATCAAACGATACCGTTTTGATCTTTGGGAATTAAAAAAAAAAAACCATGATTTATGGTTTTACGACGTCGTTTCATTACCCACCCTCTTCGCCTACACACTTGTTCTTGAGAAAAACCTGATTTAGGGTTTATCCACTTCCATTGTTGTTCAAAAAAAAAAAAAACAAAAGGTTTATCCATTTCTGTCAAATTCCTGCAATCATGGAGAAGATGATTTGCAAGGAGTGCGAAAACGAAGACGGATTCGACGAAGAAGATGGCTTTATCTACTGCCGAGAATGCGGCGTTAGAGTGGACGATATCATCGCAACCGCCGTCGACGACGAGGATCTCGTCGGAGAAGGCGGAGGTACTCGCGGCGCAACGTATAACCCAATTCACACTCGTCGTCGACCATCACAACTAATGGATACTCCTTCACAGCCTCGCTTCACAGAGGAAAGGGATCGTTACTCCCAGTTTCGCTCTCAGCTTAAATCCGCACTCCCATCGGAGCCGGCGGATTTCGGATCAGGATCAGGAGCATCGGATTTGAGTTACGAGTCGTGTTACAAACAGACAAGAGACAGATACGTCCACGGTTTCGTGATGATGGTAACGTATCAGTGCGATGCGTTGGTAGAGAAATTCAATGTGACGCCATTGATTATTGGTTTGGTCGCACCCATATGCTTACGTTTCGTGGCTCTCTCTGGCGTCTTCGATGACGATTGGGCCGATAAAGCTATTCATGAATCCGAGCTTCAATCAAAAGGTAAGAATAGTTTCTGAAATTTGATCGAAGAAATTTGGTGTTTTGTGATTTCGTTTAACTTGATTGATTCCAAATTTTGTAGAGACAAAGATAGAAGTAAGAGAGGGTAAGAGGCGTAACAGAGACAAAGGTGTGGAACATCGTAACTTTGATGGTAAGAGAGCAGTAATGATATGGCTAAGTCAGCTTAGAAAGTCTCTGCCATTATCGAGCTCTCTGGCTATATCTTTCCTTGCTTGTCACAAAGCAAGAGCACCGGTTCTACCTACTGATTTAGTTAGATGGGCACGAGAAGGAACGATTCCGTATCAATCATGTTTCCTCAAGATTCAAGAACGGATGGGAGTGCGATCAGCTGCTTGTCCTGTGGATGCGAGCACAATGTTTAGGCCTGATCACGTTATTTCTGCTCAAGTGTTGGAAACACGAGCCGCCTCCATTGCTGATATTATCGGTTTGCTTCTGCCTCCTGTTAATCTATACGGTATAGCTTCAAACTATTTAAAGCGGTTGTCTGTTCCAGAGGATAAGGTTCTCGATCTTGTGCGTCTCATTCAGAGGTGGTCGATGCCTCCGGATTTGTACCTATGTAAGAACGAGTATAAGCTCCCCACTCGTGTCTGTGTCATGTCTATTCTGACTGTAGCTATACGGATGGTTTATAACATCAATGGTTTCGGTGTGTGGGAACGTTCAAATGATGTTGCTAGTGAGGCTGATGTCGTGGAGCCTGATTCTCCAGTTCATGATGATGATGATGTTTCAGAGACGGAATCGGTTGATGCAGAGTTACCAGATGTCGAGAAAGCTACTGAGTTGGACACAGAAGAGCTTCTAAAGAACCTTGACACCAAATATTACGAGCTTGCTGATGAAACCGATGGTTAAAACCCTTAACCGACCCTATCTTTCCTGATGATATCTATTCATCTGTCTAAAGTCTACTAACCTTCCTGTATCTTGTTTGTTTTGTCAGAATATGAAAAGGATCTTTTGTCATACTTATCTCACGGGAAAAACGAGCTCTTTGCTGGTCTAGCAGAAGCATCAGCTGATGACACATACAGAACTGTTGATAATCTGTGGAATGGTTACCCTAAAGACGATGTAAAACAAGCTTATTTAATGTCTCAAACTCATACAAGATAGCCTATATAGATTTGTGAATAAACCATCTCTTTTACACGCATTTTGTAGGGATCTGAACGGGTTTGTACTCCACTCAAGAGGGGAAGAGACAGGGAAGATGACAAGTTAAGTGATGGAAACAGTCCTCGTAGTAAGCATGCAAGAAAAAGCGGAACCGGGTCAATAGATTGTGATGAGCCATCTTTGGAATGTGTTCCATCACCAGATAATCATCATCATAATCAGGAAAAGAAATCTAAGGAGAGCGCGATAAGAAGACTAATAACGGACATGGGAGAGAATTTTTTCGTTTACATACCGCCTCGTGTGAGGGTAAAGAGACAAGGCTATCTTCATTATTTGAGGAAGAAAGACGATGGAGAATTGATATACCGGGCTCACGCTGATTACTACATCCTTTTGCGTGTTTGCGCTCGTGTCGCTGAGATTGATCCGAGGAATATGCATAGAGGTGTGTTGAGCTTTGAGAGAAGATTAGCTTGGATGGAGAAAAGGATTGATCATGTTTTGCGTCTAAAACCACCTATTAAGAAATGTAAGCTCTGTCGTAAAGATGACGATAAAGATGACGATAAAGATGGCTTTAAAGACGATGATAAAGATGATGATAAAGATGGCGATAAAGATGACGATAAATATGACGATAAAGATGACGATACAGATGACGATATGGTTTTGTCTTAGGCATTACAATACGAATTTTAGTCTGAAACTTTCAAATTGACATCAGCTTGTCGAGAAAATCCTTATTTTTATGCTTTAATAAATTCTCAACAATAGGTTTCACACACCTTCTATGTTCCGCTTCTGGCAATTCAGCTTTTACTGCTGTGATTAGTTCCTGAAAATACAAAACTGAAATTAAATAAGAACTAAATGTATAAGAAAAAGGGACAACAATAATCAAATGCTTAGTTTTAAACCATCAGAGATAAGAACAGAGATGAGTAAACTATTCTTCATACTCCTTCTCAAGCCATTTCAGAGCTAGAAGTCTACCTCTTTGGCACTGATTCCTCGTACTCACTAATTTCCAAATATCCTTGCTCTCTTCTTGAATTTTTCCAGGCATTATATTAGCATTTAGCCTCAGTTTGTCCAGGAACAGCCTTGCTATAACTAGACTCTATAAAATCTTGCCTTTCCTATTAGGAGTATAACTGTGATACTTGTACCTATTCTTCACCAACTACTATGATACACGCTATGGTCTCAAGTATCATCGTCGGAAGAAAGAAGTGTCTTCTTAAGTGTTTTCCTTTTCTAATTTGAATTATAGTTTCGGTGTTTTTCCTTTTTTATAAATTTTAGCATAAGTACGGTTTCTTTTTGGGTTTAGGGAATTGGTTGTATCGTTCCCTATATAAGGGCTCTCTTTAAAATAAAGGGCACCTTCCAACAATTAACCTAATTCTCAAGAGAGACACTAGGGTTAAGAGGAAGTTTAGCTAAGTTCTTTCTTTGTGAGATCACCACAACGACTAACTATACATGACTGGTAACAAGAGCTAAAGCAAGAGAGTTAGCTCATAACAATTTGGTATCAGAGCCAACAGATCCAATGGGAGACAATAACTTAGTGCCAACACAGCAAGTGGCGATGATGGAGATGATGCAAAAGATGAGTACCAAGCTCGATCAGTTGCAATTGCCATTTGGAGCTCTCCAAGAGAAGATGACTACCCAACATGAAGCAATAGAGGAAACATCTGCAGCTCAAAAGGAGACGGTCGAGCAGACCCAAGAGGCAATTGCAATGATTCCAAACAAGCAGGAGTGTTGCGTTCTGAGTGTTGCGTTCTAAACTAGAAGCAGGTGAACCCAACAAACTTGCAGAAACAACGACAGACAACCATGGCAGTGGAAGTACCACACCTTTAGGTGACAAAGAGTGAAACTCCTACTTCAAAAGGTGTTTCCAACATTACCATACCACCAGGTGGCAAGGAGTTGGCAGTCACACAAAGGGACGCACCAAAGAATTTACCCGCCGGTTGATGAAGGAGGAACGGTTACCAGACTACTACGGTGGACCATGGCTGCTTCATTCCGTAGGAAGGGATCGTGGACACCGCCATAAAGATGGAGGAGGTGACTGGAAAGTCAGATCTATTGGGGCAATAACCCACAACTTTCACGGTGAGCACTTGATAAGAGATGATCAAGGAATATATGACAGCGGATGAGACATTGGTTATGACTCGAGAAGCAGTGAGGAGGTTTATCGAGGTTCATGGGTTGCACTGTAACGTCCCAGATCCGCAATAAGATCGCCAGGACGGACCATGGTCGAGAAGTGGGAAAGAAGGGGCAAAAGTCTAAACAAAGACTCGACCCATGGTCCAAAGTAATCGGCTAAGTTCATTGGTCTAAGACTTAGCCAGGAAAAAGAAAGAAAAGACCGAGAAGATAGCTCAACTAGGCGGATTGAGCTGAAATGAGCTGAATGACCGAGCTAAGCTAGCTGGACTAGTTGACAGGAAGCTCAGTCCAGCTACGAGGAGTGATCGGTAGTTGGTCTAGTCGAGCTAGTGGTGAGTGAAACGGTTATGGGCGGTGATGGCCGAAGGGTTGTAAAGCCTAAAGCGGCCAACCAACGTGCCTGTTCGACCAACACTACAAGAAAACAAGCGTTTTCCAACGGTCCATTACGACGGTTTAAAAGTCGTCGCAAACTTACAACGATTTTACGACGAATTTACGTCAAAAAAAACCGTCGTAAACTCGTCGTATAAAAACATCGTCGTAATTTCGACGTACAATTTACGACGAATTACGACGAATATACATCGATAACGAGAGATTTGATATTGAATGCAAAATCGTCGTAAATTCGATGTACAATTACGACGAATATACGACGACTGTATTTCGATGTAAAAGATACGACGATTTTACGTCAACACATAAGTTAGGTGAGGAACATTTAAAACATGTTTACCTAACTAATGTAGAAGAAATATTTTATCGCATAGTCGTCGTAAAAGCGTCGTAATATTATTGTTGAATGTAAAATCGTCGTAAAAAGTCGTCGAAAAACTGTCGTAAAGTCCAAAATTTTCCTATAAATAGATCTTCATTCCTTCTTTCAATCACAACACATCATCATTTAAACATAAGAGCATCATAATCCTGGAGACCCATTGTAGGTCTCTTAAATTATAGTATAGTGTTGTAAATCCTTATATATTGGGTTGTCCATAGCTGGAAACCCGAATTAAGAGTTATTTATTTTGAAAAAAAGAAGTAATAATATTAAAAGGTTAATTTACTCCATTCATGTGGCTAGACGTGACACAAGAGACCAGCTCTCCTTTATTGTCTAATCAATAAAAAGAGAAAGTATTTTGACTTTATTTCAAGATATGTCTATATACGAGCTAAGAAGCTGGATGTATATGCGTAAAGATTCAGAAGGGGTGTTGACAGAAGAGTTCAAGAACGGGTTAGAAATATTTATGTATCAGGCTACAAATATGGAGAGAACGAAAGATAGTGGAAAGATGTTTTGTCCTTGTTTGAAATGCAAGAATACGAGGTATACACTAACCAAAACCGTGTGGACGCATTTATTAAATAGAGGGTTCATGCCGCAATATTTTGTTTGGTATCTACATGGAGAAGGATATGGCAGTAATACTCATGAGAATGCTGGTAGTAGTAGTAATTATCAAAGTCATATTGATTTTGATGAATCGAATTATGGTCATCAGCCTAATCAGTATAAATCTGATCAAAGTGTAGATCATGATAGGATGCATGAGATGGTGACTGATGCATTTCATGAAACGCATACTGATAATGCTGTTGAGGAACCTAATGTAGATGCCAAACGATTTTATGATTTGTTAGACAATGCTAATCAGCCAATCTACGAAGGATGTAGAGAAGGCCTGTCTAAATTATCGTTGGCAGCTAGGATGATGTCAATTAAAACAGATCATAACCTGGCTGAGGTTTGCATGGATGATTGGGCTGATCTTCTGAAAGAGTATCTACCGGAGGATAACTTGGCAGCGGAAACATACTATGAAATACAAAAGTTGATTTTTAGTCTTGGTCTACCTTCTGAGATGATATATGTATGTGTTGACAATTGTATGATTTTTTGGAAAGATGATGATTAGCTGGAGGAATGTCGATTTTGCCAAAACCCAAGATATAGGCCGCAAACTGGTGGGCGTAAAAGGATACCGTACAAACGTATGTGGTATCTCCCTATAACTGATAGGTTAAAACGGCTTTATCAATCTGAAAGGACAGCTGCATCAATGAGATGGCATGCGGAACATACATAAGTAGATGGAGAAGTTGTTCATCCATCAGATGCAAAGGCATGAAAACACTTCAATATGGTATACCCAGATTTTGCTAAGTTCAAACGGAATGTCTATCTTGGTCTGTGCACTGATGGTTTTAGTCCATTTGGTATGTCTGGTAGACAATATTCATTATGGCCAGTAATCCTAACTCCTTATAACCTTCCTCCAGATTTGTGCATGCAAAGGGAATTTCTTTTCCTAAGTATTTTGGTTCCAAGTCCAAATCATCTGAAGCGAGCTCTCGATGTATTTCTGCAGCCACTCATACATAAGTTGAATCAGTTATGGTATACTGGTGTTCGCACATATGACTGTTCTACGAGGAAAAATTTTACTATGCGGGCTGTGCTTATGTGGACAATAAGCGATTTCTCCGCTTATGGTATGCTATCAGGATGGACTACACATGGGAGGCTATCTTGTCCTTATTGTCTTCATCGAACTGATGCGTTTCAGCTAAAACATGGTAGAAAAACTTGTTGGTTTGATTGTCACCGGAGGTTTTTACCGGATAACCATCCATATCGGAGGAACAAGAGGTTATTTATGAAGAACCAAAGTGTACATGTCCCTCCACCCGTAAATTTAACAGGAGCTGATATACAGGCGCAAATCGATCATTGGAGGGCAGAGGAAACAGTAACGCGTGGGGGAAACTGGCACACTCCTGCAAATATGCCTGAAGGTTATGGAGTTCATCATAATTGGCACAAGAAAAGTATCTTTTGGCAACTATCTTATTGGAAAGATCATCAGCTCAGACACAATCTTGATGTCATGCACATTGAAAAAAACTTTTTTGATAACATCATGCATACAGTTATGAACGTAGCGGGAAGAACAAAAGACAATGGTAAGTCAAGATTGGACTTGCCTTATTTATGCAACAGAAGTGAGTTGCATCTACTGAGAAACGAGAAAGCACCAGTTCCTGTATTTCGGTTGAGTGCAGATCAAAAGTCAGCATTGTTCAGATGGGTTTCTTCAGACGTTAAATTTCCTGATGGGTATGTCTCTAATCTTCCCAAATCTGTTGAGAAGGGGGTAAAGTTTGCTGGGATGAAAAGCCATGACTGCCATTTTGTTTTTGCAAAAGACGCGTCCGTTCGTGGTCTAGCGGTTAACAAAAGGGAAAATCTATAAATAGATCCCCTTGGACCCGTTTTTAAGCACACACAAATAGAGGGAAAGGTTTTGGTCCCTTGGACCCGTTTTTAAGCACACACAAATAGAGGGAAAGGTTTTGGTCGTGAGACCAAGGCAAACCGAGAGAGAGAGAACTTGACCGGCGGAATGAGAACCATCTAGAGCGGCTGGTGCGGGTCGCGGAAAAAGAAATGAAGAGAGAAACGCGGCAAAGGTAAACGGACCGCAAGAGACTAAGGTGCGTTATTACTTCGCCGAGTGAATCTGATGATCGGCCAAAGAATGGGCTTGGCCGATCTGACGGTAAGTCTTGG